TGTATTGGTAAGCGTAGTGTCACACATGTAAAAACAATCCCCGGGTAAATTAAGCTGGTTTTGCTTAATGTGTTTCCTCATTAGATTTGAATGAGTGTGTGGCCCGTACCAGTACGTGCCTGCCTGGACAGACTTGTGTCAACACAGTGGGCTCCTACACTTGTCTAAAGAAAACAATATCCTGTGGACAAGGCTATCATCCAAATCCGGAGGGCACGTCTTGTGAAGGTACATACCGTCGTAATGAATCATGTCCTGTGTTTAAAGTCTTCTACTGCATTTGCTGCATCAATACATTTGTTTAGATATCTTACTTATGTCTTACCCCCCTTGGCGTTTACAGATGTGGACGAGTGTCGTACAAGGGATGTATGTGGCGGCAACATCTGTGTCAACCTGGTGGGAACGTACCGCTGTGAATGCAGAATTGGCTTCAAGTTTAACACTATTACCACACGGTGTGAAGGTGCAGTACAAACTCATCACGATTAATTGCCATGAACACTTTTGCGTCCACAAATGTGAGAACACAGAGGGGTCCATGACGGTAGACACTGTGGAGAAACTGTGCGCTTGGTCTTTTGAGGTCTCGACAGATGTCAATGAGTGTGAAGCCAACCATTGCTGACATTAATGAGCAAAAGTCTGTGGCTCCTCCAGTGCTACGAGTGTGATGTGATCACATGTTACCTAAACATTTCACTGACTATTTATAACTACATTTCCCTGTCTGCTGCTCTCAGATATCGATGAGTGCGCTTGGCATAACGGAGGTCATCAGTGTTCCTACAGTTGCTCCAACGTCCCAGGCAGTTTCCACTGTACCTGCCCATCCACAGGCTACACACTGGCACCAAATGAACGCACATGCCAAGGTCAGGAGAGGAACCTTTAGTACCCTTGACATGAAATCAACTGAATTGTAGATGAATGACATGTCCCCTGTGTTTTTAGACATTGATGAATGTGCACTAGGGACACATACCTGTTCTTTGCATGGAAGCTGCTTCAACATCCTGGGAGGATTTCGGTGTCTGTCCATGGCATGTCCTCAATACTTCCAGCTAGCAGCGCACGGGTGAGTGCTGATGCCTACTTGTTAATGACGAGTTGTTGGAATGAAAGAGTTGGTTGTCTCCAGCTGAGCAGGATGGATCTTCCTATCTTTCTTATTCTTTGTTTTTTTTACAACGTTATCGCTTCAACCAACACCTCCGTCCGTGCTGATGTTTTCTGGATGGGACCTTCCAATTGATTCAATCTCAGTAACCAACGGAATTTGGGGATGAGGCTTTATCCCTACAGGACAGTCTATCTCCAGCTGGCCACGGTTGCTCTGTTTGTCACACACCATCAGCCCACTCGGTCCCCAAGAACATTTCCCTTTAGATGTTTTCTGGACGGGACCTTCCAATTGTTATAATCTCAGTCGCAAGTCACCTATCTGAATTTGGAGATGAGGCGTTTTCGCTACAGGACGATATACTTTATAATCAAAAGGGGGCTCAACCACCGTTTTAAAGTGAATTATTGGTCATAATTGCTAATTGATTTGCATTTTTGATATGGTAGGTTGTCTTCAAAACTTTGCTCTGTGTTTTCTCTCTTTTAAACACTAGCGTTTAATGTAACAGTACACACAGAAGAAGGTTAGGACATTGGACCACTAGATGGGGCTCATTAGCTTTTTGAGGATCTCTCCACTGAAAGGAAGGTTTGTGTGCATCCTGGAAGTCTCCTGTACCTTGCTTCTGTGCGGCAGCTTCCCTTCATGTGTTTGGAATTAAAATATTAATGCACAATCACACACCGGCAATATTTTCTGCCACTAGTCTCGCTCTTCCTCTCCTGTGGTAACTTCTAATGTTTTCCTATGATCTGTTCCAAGCGACCTCACTATAGGATCAAACAGGGCTCTTCTCAGCGGATAGAAAAAAAAATAAGCGTGGCATTTATTTATGGCCACCTGGGGCTCAGCCAGCGTGGGGGCTCAATTAGTGGTGGAGCAGCATTACGGCTCACATAATGGATAGTGATTTTAGTGTTGCTATTGGGTGGTTAGTTGATTTGCTGTAAACGATACCGAAGGGCCAGTAGTTGTGTTGGTCAGATGGATAAATGCAGCCAGACAATATTTCCACTATCCAAATTCCCTGCTGGTGGTTTGGGGGGGGGGGTTCAAGGCTTTGCGCTGATTGAGATTTCTCAAATCTTTGAATAATATGAAACACACTGTATATATGAAACACAAGTTGACCATTTAAAATATATAGGAGTTGGTCAATGCTGTAGGTAATAATACAAGTATGTGTAGCTATGTTATGCAGTTGTTTGGATATGTAATTATTCTTATTGTGCTGCTGATTCTGTCAAAGATTTTTGTCCACCGTGTCATTGATCTCATCAGATGACATCCGGCCTTACATACCGCGATGTTTTTTAAAATCCCATATATTCTTGGTGAGAAGAATTCCACACATCCCCTTTCACTCACCTGCTTGCTGTTAATTTCATGGCATATTGAAAGCGTAGAGGATACCCACAGGCTTGATGATGGGTTGAGGAATCAGCGTGGCCTCTTGTAAAGAAATCCTTTCATTGATTAATCATGGAGGTCAATGGTAGCTTCCCAGGTGTGGCCAGGTTCTTCTTGTTCAACTATACTGTGGATCTGTGGTTGACGTTTTGTTATGAATACTGTTTCTCTCCTGTGAAGGTTACAATAGTGTCAAACACACACTTCCCCTTTTGTTTTTATTCATCTATCCTTGCCACTGTGTAATAAATCTCCATTTCCACCCCATTTTCTCAATTTTTTCCATCCGGCATACTTCATACTTACCATAACTTCTGTTTATCATTTTCATATCCAGAAAAGATACATCGGCCAGTTGGAATTGTTTTAAGGTCTGCCGTCCTCAGTATGTTGGCTGCTATGACTATCCCATCAACCTAATAAGCTACATCTCTATCTCCTTGCCAACCCTCCGAGTGATCAGTGAACCGAAAGGTAAGACACGGTGGACTTGCTGCGTGGTCTTAGTATGTGTGCAATGTTGATTGGTTCACCAGTGGTGCATTAACATGTAGTACCACCCTGTATCAATTGATTTGGTGGATTCCCAAAGTTCTTATTGTGGAAGAACTTTTAATTAGCTTTAGTAATCAAGTAAGTTACTGTGAGCATAAGTTTGTGCATTTGGCAAATTCAACCTTCTTAGTTAGATCACTGTTTCTGGAATGAGCTACCACATTGAGACCTTTCCAGTTCTACTAAATTGTATTTTGTGTTTCCTAGAGGAACACGGATATCTGATTTTTAGAAATCCACATAAATCCCAAATACATACTGTTATTGTTTTTTTACATACATTATTCGTTTTTAGTGATTTGGATGACATATTTTAGCCTAATATTTTTTCCATAACCTTCCACCTCGCAAAATGAGTTGTTTCAACGCACTCTGTGGTTCACTACTATTATCTAATACAAACTTTAAACCAATTTTTCCAACAGAAATAACTTTCTTGCGGTCAACTGCAGCGGCTAACTATGCTCATCTACCCGGTGGCACAGATGTTTCCTTCAAAATCCTGGTTGCAGACGACCAGTCCTCTTTTGATGTGATAAAGCGTTCCTACAGTGGCATGTTTGTTGGTAAGTTTAAAGACTAGGCCGTCAAACCTTTATGAAAGCCAGATAATATATGCCTATGTTGCCTTTGCTCATACGCCTCCACAAATGTATGTTCTGTGTTTGTCATCCCCCAGGTGTGGTTCGTCAGGTGAAACCTCTCCGTGGTCCCAAAGACTTTGTGTTCCAGGTGGCTGTGAATTATGTCAAGTCAGGGGTTGTTTCTTATCGCAACATTGTCATCATCCGTTTCTTCATCTCTGAGTTCTGGTTCTGAGCAAAGCAATTGAGAGATACATTAGTTGTTCACCAAATTATATTCAGTCCATTTGTTGTTGTCCTTGTTGATGGTGGACGGACCAACCAACATCGCAGGAATTTAACATTCATAATAGACAGAGGGCTCTCATCTCCTTATTCACTGTACCAGTTTTACTTGAATTCAGACTTTTTTGTCATCATGACTAAACAGTTACTGACCTGTGTAACTGTTTAATATTTGATCAATTTCGTCTTCAATGAGAGAGTAGATTTGACGTGCTTTAATGGATAATAAAACCCTTCATCTATGGACTTGCTGTCAACATTGATTGAACATTGGTTGTGAATGAATTGATCCTCTGATCAATACTTGCTCTATGTGAATGGATTTCATATGCGAGTGCAGCCGCAGCTCAGAGTCTGTACAGAATTTTTGTCTCAGAAATTATTGGATGTTATTTTGTCTAAGAATATGCTCTCACTAATACTTGATACATGATATGCTCTGCCCATATGCCGAAATAACACTTTCAAACCCTTTATCACAGAGTTATGGTTTTTACATACACGGAACAGACCATAAAATAAATTGCTTTTTTCCCAGAAAGACCTAAAACGCGTCTGGGATGCTTGAGGATACAAGTCACCAGCCAAATTGAATGTTATCATCTATATGACATCAAGTCTTCAACTTATATCAAAGCTATTAGTTAGTATTCAGAAACCCTTTCCACAGGTGCCTTTATATTAATGTCTACTGTTTTTATATTCTCACTAACAAACACTTTCCGGTTTCCAAATTAAAGTTGATGAGGTCAATTCCAGCCTATACATAGGCAACAGAGCATACCTTTTTTTTACTATATATATTATAGTATTCGTTAAATGTCACGAATTAAGAGGTATATATAAAAGCAACCGTCACGTCTGTTGTTTTTAGATTTTTCGATAAGATTTTAACGTGTTCATTACCTGTTTTGACGCAGACAAACTACATGCATGACTCCAAGCTACTTGTGTGTGCAAACAGCAGCACATGCTCTGACTCCGCCCCTTTCTCTGATTCAACCAATGGCGTGTAGAAATCTATCCCGGAAGTGTCGCCCAAACGAATTAACGTGAGGCAGACGGGGAAACATGGCAGCCACCGCCGACAGCAACTTGGACATCTTTGCCTCCATCGCTTGTCTTTCGAGGGAAGAACACTGCACAGACCACTTGCAGGTTTTAAAAAAATTCACGGCTGCGTTACGGGACAAGGAATACAGGTGTGGACACAGTCATTTTCTGCCTTTTTGATAGAAAATGCGGGGTTTCAGCGTCCCGGCTAAGCTAACTCGACGTGATGTTAATAAAGTAGTAGTGCTACAATTACTCAGGCCTGTCCACAGGCGGAGGTTCATTAGTAATATAAAAATGTATTGATTTGTTTAAAGGCTTTAAATGGTACTTGGAAGCACTTTACATCGCAAAAACGGAAACATTTAAGGAACAAAGTAAGGAACAAACATAACCTACTTATCTAGCATTGCAAGTTCAAAGCGGATTTCAATACAATAAGCACATGTGTAACTAATTACTAATGATGTCGCAGCTGTTTTACAATGCCACCAGCAAATATTATTGTAACGCAGGCTAGTGACGATGTCTGCAGACCAAAAATAGCTATTCCTCCTAAATTGAGGCACCATCACAGTAAAGTAACCGTCCCTCCCTTTTTTTGTTGGTCAACCTCCTGCTCCCAGAGATGCTGTGGACGAGGAGACGTTCTCCAGTCTTCTAAAGTTCTTGTCCCGACTGTGTGATGACCTTCTGGCTGTCAGCTGTGAGGATCAGGACCAGGATCTGCCGTCTGTGGTCCTGCGTCTGCAGTTGACCGCTGAGTGCTTCAGGGCTCAGAGGAACGCCTGCGTGCAGAGTACTCGCAACCAGAGTCTGCTCAGGTAGAGGGATTAGTGTCTTGGAAAGCATGGGTCAGTTACAAGCTGCATTGATAAATCAACACTTCTTTATGGTCTCAACAATAGTTCAGCTTTGTATAATGCAGATTCTCCCAAGTTAATGCATTATACTGTATGTGTTCATCTGAATCTTTCACAATTACACAAACATGCAAGGACAAACCTAAATATACAGCGAGCACATACTGATTGCAATTCTTTACCTCCAGGGAGCTTGGTTTCATCGATGTATCCATTAAACACCTGGCCTTCCTTCAGACCACACGTGTGGGGAGCAGAGATGGCATATTTGAATGTGAGTCTAAAGAAAGGTTATTTTAATAAACACAGATTTATTCGGCAAACCTTCTTATACTGTACTTAACTGAAATACAATTATTTTCCATGACCCAGCTCTTCGTATTGGGATCCAGTTCCTCGGTAACATGTCGGTTGGAAACCAAGCATGTAAAGATGACATTTGGCAGCGGAGCTTTCCGGATCTTCTCCTGTATGTTTTGTATGCCACAGCTGCTGCTTTGTTTCGACCACACTAAACCACTCCGTCACATAGAATTTGTATAATTCACACTGTTTATTGGGAGTATCTTGGTGGTTAATTGGTTCAAATCTGGCCTTGACCTGATACATATCTGACAAATCTCTGTCTCATGCTTAATATTGTCACATAAATAGTATTATATACATTGAGTCAACCCAAACGTGTTTTGAATAGGCAGCTGCTCCGTGTCGATGATGACAAGGCAGTACACTACGCCGCTATGGTACTCCACACGTGTCTGGATGAAACCAAGGTGGAAGAACTGTCTGAACCACAGAACATCCAGCTGGCACTCAGGGTGATGGAGCTCTGCAGGACCCAACCTGACCTGGACTGGACGTAAGAGTGTGTGTCTGTGTTTTTAGTGCAATTGTTTGTTTTATGTTGAACGGTTTGTGTGATGTCAAGAAATTACCAACATTTTCTTTGTTGCTTGTTGGTAAAGATTTTATTAATTCATTAATTTACAGGGTTCTCATTGCAACCCAGCATTTCCTCAAATCTTCAACTCTGGTGGAGAGCATGTACTCTGGGATGTCCCACCACGAAAGGTATACTTTGCTTGACATACTGACTAGCAATACATGTCACTATAGCCTTATAAACCTTGCTATTTGAGGTGCTTCAAATAGATTGTTATATTTGTGTTTCAGAGTTACTCTATTGGAGCTGCTCTCTGCCCAGCTCCAAGAGGAGGCCTCGGAGGAGTGTGGCATTCCCCCCGATGTGGCTCGCTTCCTGGCTACTTCGTTCCAGAACGGTTGTGGAGCTGTGCTGACACTCGCCACTGGCTCTGCGTCCAGTGATGAGGTACGGATAGTAAACCTGACCGATGTATCCAAACACAAAGAAGTGCCTCACCAAGTCCATGAAACATGCGTAGCGTTCAGAGAGCTTTATTTAGTTTTAGATTTTCAACAGTAAAGTCCCCACCCTAGCTAAATCTGCCATCCAACATCCTTCCCCCTTGTGACCAACACTTTGTTTGCAATCCCCTGCAGGTCCTGCACGAAGCCCTGACAGTGATTAGTCTGCTGGACGTGCTGTGTGAGATGACCTCCGATCACAAGCAGTTCATGTTTCTCCAAGACCATCCTGACCTTCTAGTGACTATTGTTGGTAAATGAAAACCTACACTCACACAACCTGAGCTGAATGGATCCACAGCGTGAGTTTGTGAATCCATTTTCGTAAACATTGAGTTATTTATGTCCTCTGTACAATGTAGACACTCCTTACAATAGTGAAAGATCCAGATCCATCATCAAATCATACACTTAAACCACACAACACACAACCTAGACATATGTTGTCCAGCAATAAAAAGACAGCAAATAAGACTGGCAATTTTATTTTACATTATTTTACATTACATGTCATTTAGCTGACGCTTTTATCCACAGCGACTTACAATAATTGCATTCAACCATAGGGTACAAACTCAGAAGAACAAGAAACAAGAAAGTGCAATTTCCTCAAATAAGCCAATTTACAATTTGCTATAGATGAGTGGCGTTACAAGTACAATTTAAGTGCTACAATTTGTTAGTCATTTAGTCGAGGTAGAGTCTGAAGAGGTGTGTCTTTAGGTTGCGGCGGAAGATGTGGCTCTCTTCGGTCCTGGTGTCTTCAGAGAGATCGTTCCACCATTTCGGAGCAAGGACAGCAAAGAGTCGTGATCAGGGTCAGCAGGGAGACCTGCAGGAGAGAGTTACAGTAGTCCAGGCGTGAGATTACAAGAGCCTGAATCAGTACCTGGGCAGCGTTCTGAGTGAGAAGAGGACGTATTCTCCTGGTGTTGTAGAGCGTGTATCCACAGGATCGTGTTGTCGCAGTGATGTTGGGAGTCAGGGAGAGCTGGCTGTCGAGTGTGACGCCAAGGTTCCTAGCGGTTAAAGTGGGCGTTAGCACGGAGTTGCTAAGTTGACCGTCAGGTGCTGGGTCAGATAATCTTTTCCCGGAAATAGAAGTAGTTCAGTCTTGTCAAGATTGATTTTCAGATGGTGGGCGGACATCCACTGAGAGATGTCAGTCAGACAGGCAGAGATCCGCGCCGCCACCTGGGTGTCCGAGGGAGGGAAGGAGAGAATTAGTTGGGTGTCATCGGCATAGCTGTGGTAGGAGAAGCCATGCGAGCAAATGACAGCGGTGAGAGAGTTGGTGTAGAGAGAGAAGAGGATGGGACCCAGGACGGAACCCTGAGGAACTCCAGTAGTAGGAGGACAAGGTTCCGACACAGATCCTCGCCAGGTTACCCGGTAGGTGCGGCCGTCGAGGTAGGACGAGAGAAGGGAGAGAGCGGAGCCTGAGACACCAAGTTCCTGAAGGGAGGAAATAAGGATCTGGTGGTTGACTGTGACAAATGCAGCAGAGAGGTCCAGAAGGATGAGGACAGAGGAGAAAGAGGCGGCTCTAGCAGTATTTGTTACTGAAACATCCTTTATTTACATTTTATTAAGAAACTTCTAATTTCAATTTCAGTGAATCGTGAATTGTAACATATCTGTCATCTCTCGCTTTTCCATCTTTATATTTCCTCTGCAGAGCTCCTGCGGCAAGTGCATGTTATTGGGAAGGCCAGTAAGAACATTTTCAGTGCTGCTCAGAACTTCTCCTTCAGTGGAGATGACAACCCTCCCGCCCAATCTCCTGTCATCAGCTTCAAGGCCCAGCTCATCAGGCTGATAGGAAACCTCTGTTACAGCAATACCGACAACCAGAACAAGGTTTGCAATGGGTGGTTGGCTGAGTTCGTCTGGGGATATATTATCAGCAATCTAATAAAGGGAGAAACTTCTTGTTATTGTTGGTTTGGGGATGGTTCAAAAAGAGGTAATTAATAGTTGGCCAGTCTTTTACTTATTGTTAAATGAATGCAGGTTTTCAGTTGTTCTTTGGTATACAAACATGCACTTAACCAGCTCATTTGCAGCTGCAATCTCACCTACATTTCCCTTGTTGCAAAGCTGCTGGCGTTGGAAAGCCCAGTTTCTTAATGTACAATATACCATATTAATATAATATTCAGTATGGATATCTTCCTTTTGAAGAAATTTGAGCAAAAGCTGCTTCTTCAAAACTACATTATATTTAGTGCCGGAAATGAGATTCCTTGGACATCTTCATGCACCCCTAATAGTCCTGACCCAATGGGGTCATGGGTCAGAATTAGTGAGGTGTGTGCGCCCCGCCCTGGTCTTACTTCAACAGACCTTGATGAGGACTGAACATGTGATGACTGCAGGCTTACGAGTTCTATCAACTACTTGAATTTTGCACTGAAATAAGAAACCTTTCCTTCCTCGCTTTGGTGATGTTATCAGTTTCCCTCCATCGTCGTCTGTCATCATCTCACTATTAACATAAAGCACGTACAGATAATAAAGCGGGTGGGGAGGAGTTGGCCTCTATCCGTGGCACATTATGAACTCCGTTCCACTTGCTAGGAACAGATTAGTGGAATGCTTGTGGGATGGCCACCCTCAGTTGGCCTCTCCAAATTATTTATGGGTGCTGATCTGTGGTCTGTCAGTGGTCTGAAATCACCCCATATCTGTTTTCAGTAAGATCTTTTCCAGTAAACCAAATGTCATTCTGTTCAACATTGGGAGAGGATGTAATTTAAGATGCATGCAAAGCGTTTTACGGCGTGTACCGGACAAAAGTCAGCGCCCAGTGGCTTGTTATTCATGTCTTTATGGGTTTGGACATCATGTGAGCAGCATCAGACAATAAATCTGCAGAGCGAGAAAATCCAACCTGCGTGCTGGTAATTGGTAAGCAACGTTGTTTCCTTGAAAGTTTCTAAAATTACATTTCTGTAACGCAGCACCTTGTGCTGTTGTGGATCTCCCTCCAGAAAGTATGGAGGATAAACACATGGCAACTAGTGGTGCCATTAATATGATGCAGATTACCTGTTCATTTGGCAGTGCCACGATGAACTGTCAAATCCCACGTTTTTGTTTTTCATCGATTTAAATTTCAGGTTTTTATAGTTTAGCCACAGGGTCATCAAATGAGCAGCACAAGCATCGTCACAGAACTGGTGTTTGGTAAAAATCTCTTTGAAATCTGTTCATTTAAACATTTTAAAGTAAATGTTGTTTCTTCAGGTCAGAGAACTGGAAGGCATCCCCCTCATCCTGGACAACTGCAACATAGACAGCAACAACCCATGTATCCTTTGGGTTAACGTGTTGATGCTCTGCAAATAGTGAGCCATCTGTGTTTGTGTATAAGCAGTATATTTCAAAAACACTGTTTATATGTATGTCTAGAAGGTTTTTTTTTATCCATTATCTAGCTTATTCTGGCACTTAAAGAATGTGCATGCTGATGGTTTTGCAACCAAACCGGTTTGATTACAACAGTGTTTGTGTCAGTGATGAGCGACTGTGAAAGTTTCACATTGCATTTACCTACTCTGTATGGTTAACAGCGCCAACTGTTGGACAGCTTATGAATGCAACCGTTTGTTTAGAGGTGGAATTAAGACCTCATTTTGGCTTTTGAATTAGACTGCTTTCTGATGGTTTTTTCAACGTTTAACTAGTCCCTGTTTGCATTGACCAGGGAGCGAGGTTTCATTTTAATACAGTACAACTACATCACTAACAGCATGGACTCCGATTCAGATTTAACTCTGTACTCTAAGTTCAAGGTCCATGCTGAAAAGGAGGGAGGGAGTGTGTGTGCATATGATATGCTTTTATTGCCCTTTTTCACAACAGTTTGACAAGCCAAACTCTGTTTTACTGTGTTGTTGTCATCTCTAGCTCTTGCTGGATATCCTGCTATTAGTTGGATGAAGCTAAAGGCGTCGGGGCAGATTGTCATTTAACCAGGGCAATATTTTGAGCTCATCCCTTTGTCCCTGTGCCCCTTTTCCACATATGCACGCACATACAGTCCACTTTGTGCAGCTTTATTCAGGTAGAGGTCTGCATTTGTTTCTGTTCAGAGAAAGACTCCCAAGAAAAACCAGGTTTATAGATTTATGCAGGAAACCTGAGTGGGGTAAGCTGAGAGTGTTTTGTATCACAAAACTTAACTTGTCTGCTTAACGCTTTTTTTTATTTGTTGGGCTGTCTGCGTACTTGCCGATCTGAAGCAAATACCAGGCGCTTATGAGTTTGACATGAAAAAGTTTGCTTGCACATGCTCTTGTCTAGTATTAACTATTTTATTTTACACATTATAAAAGGTCATGTTCTTTTTGTTTATCATATTCAATTGAGACAAAGCAACAAATGCATGTGTAATTTTCATTCAGAAAACTAGTGCTGAAAAACACACCTTAAGAAAGTGCCAGAACAAACTGCTGTGTTCGATCCTGTGAGACAGAATTTCTGACGTTGGCGTCCTTAACCACTTGTCCTTTTTAGTCATCAGCCAGTGGGCCATCTTTGCCATCAGGAACCTCCTGGAACACAACACGCAGAACCAGGAGCAGATCGCCAGGCTGGAAAAGCGGGGCACCGCCGACTACTCCGCACTCAGGGAGTTGGGTTTCCTAGTGGAGGAGAGAGATGGAAGCCTGCTGCTCAAAACTGTGAGAAAAGACTCTTGAAGGCCTGAGAGGAGCGGCCGGGCGAGGGGAGGCCCTCGACCCGCATGCAGGTTTTCCATGTGTAGTATTTGTTTATAAAAGAATACGGTACTGTACTCTTGTTTTGCTACTTGCCTCTTTAATATTACCTAATACTTCAACCTCTGGGAGTGATTTACCCCTCAGGAACAACATTCCTGTCCAGAATAACTGACAGTCACCCTGCGGGCAGATTAAGAACAACGCTTTAAATTACTCATCAGGGAAGTATGCACTTTTCTACCTTTTTTTATTTAGTAAAGCTTCCAGCCTTTTGCCAGATGGGGTGGGAAGTATTCTTAATACACAAAAAGACCCCTGGGGTCTCCCTGGTGTAAAAGCAGAGGTCAAGACCTCAGGAGCTCTGGTTTTGTCTTGAACTGAGTTTGGGAAATGAAGAGATTGCGAGAGGCGAGCACACGCTGGTTCCTTTTGGCCGGGCTCATGCTTTGTGGTTTAATCCAAAGACAAAGCGCACCACAGTGTCCAGACTTTTCACTTGTCCCATACGCTGATGTTACCAGCAGGGGAAGGGGTTTAATTCCAGGCCCATAGTGACTTCTGCAGGGACCGCAGAAACCAATAATGACCAAAACATGATGTAATCAACCCCCTCACTGCCTTAGCTACTTAAAAAGTGACTTCCAAACGTTTCCAACAATTTATTTAAACAGGCATAACGTTCATATTAAAGTCTAAGAATGTCTCGAGGGAAAAATGCAATACATAAACTGAAGCTATGCATGTTTTGCATTTTAAAAACAATCCGTTACAGCATGAGCGTGTCACTTTCTCGCCTGGTATTAAAGCTATGGACTGAATGGTTTTCATAACATAGTCCAGTTTATTTCATTTTATTCATAATCTCTTATTTCCATCCTATTGCAATTTGCTGGATAAAACGGAGATAAGGGCTCATGACATGCAGACCGTCAACGTCTTCCGCTCCCTCTGTGCGAGCTGTATTTGACTTTTACCAGACTCCATAGACTTTGTTAAAGACTTGGTGATTACTGTACTTCCAATCTAGCTGTGCCTGCGATAGAGCCACTGGGGGGGGGCTCAGTGGACAACAAGTGAGATCATACCAACAGCGTACCCCCCCCAAAACCGACCTGAGGGAGTCAACGAATGACGTTGCTTGCTGCTGCTCCCGTTGCTGGATAAGCTGAACAGTCCTGACACCTCAACAATGGCGCGCTTTGCTGGCCCGCTCACGCCCTGCTCCACCTTGTTTGCTCTGCCTCTGATTTTTAATGACAAAATGTATTGAAACAATCGTCTGGGCGCCCCCCCCCCCTCCTCCCCCCACCACCCTCCCCTCAATCCGCCGGCATAGTGAAGAGAGCTTATGCGGTTCCGGTCTCCAGGATTTCAGACGGCTAACAAAACAGCTGTTACTTGCGCTCGACTGGCTGGCTGCAATGCTTTTCAGCCGCACAGGAAAGAGTCCTGTGCGGCTGAATGAGGTGGCAGTGCCGCCCGCTCGCCTCCCAACACGTTAGTTCACATCAGTCGAGGCCAGAAGTTCTTGTTTCCCACATCAGCGTTTCATGCCGCAGGCTTCTACTGTATTGTAATGGTGCCTTCCGGTTATTTCCCTTGACAAAAAAAAAGCTTTGTCGGGGTGTTAAGTATTCTGGATGCTTGGGTCAAATAATGCTTAATAAAATAATGTGTGTTAGACTAACATTTTTTTTGCAACGATTTTTAGAGCCAACAAAGGCCAGACGTGTTATAAAACTTAAGACGCGATAGAAGGATTCTCAAATTTTATTGGTAAAAAAAAAAAAAAATACACATGTCCTATGTTTGTAAGTGATGCAGACTTAGATTTTGCCACCGAACAAATAAACCTAAACTAGTCGTAACGATTAGCTCTACAGATGCACTAGTTCTGACACTTCCCATGAATTATCTACTCTCAACTCTCCGCATCTACTCAACTAGTGAGCAGTGGTTTCCACAGACTGTCCTGCACCTTCCAGCACTTGAGGAAGCTTCTGTGACCTCCATTGAATTGTGAAGGATTCTCGAGATGGACAATCTGTTCTACTTTGGTTAAACACGGGGCACATTCACCATTTAGCAAATCTTTGATCCAAAACCTAAATCCCAAATAGGTTGCATCTCTCAAATCTGAATACAATGATGACACTGAAAACACTTTCCGCTCCATCTATGAATGACTTAAAGTGCCACGTTCCTCATATAAAAATAAACTCTTCAAATTGTTTAGTAAGTTACATAAAGCCTAAATAAACATTTCTGCATACATTAAGGGGTAAAGTCCAAAAATAGCTTTGCGGCCTATGTATCCTCTCGTACCCCCTTCTGTGTTGTTGGGTCACATGAGATGCACCGGGCCGGCCTGGACCACGCTGGAAGGCCTCGTGTAAGCAGAGGCCATGGTGTGGAATTCCACGTCTCTTGTCGTTCGTGGGAATGTTGGATGTATCTGAACTCTGATTGCGCCTCTCTGGCGTTCCATCGAGGCTTGCGTGCTTTTCCCTAAAGTCTGGAGGCCTCTGAAAACACGACAATGCGCACGGTCCGGATGCAAGTTGAATGCTTAAGAAGAACTGTCTGCCTCTGTGGCTCCGGCTGTAACAAAGGGTCTGTTTTCTGAGGGGGGGGTTGTCTGTGAGAGGGATGTCAGCACAGCGCTCATCGACACAACTTGATGATCCAGGAAAAAGAGAAAGAAATGTGATAGTGAAACGGGTCGATGAACAAAAAGGAAATGGCAGAGCTGCGTAGTGGCTGTAAAACGCAAATCCACGTGAGAGAAAATTTGGCGACTCCCCGCTTGAAATGTGTCCGTAGCAATTTAAGATCATGAAAGATGTGGAATGTTCGAGAGCAATTGAGTATGTCGATCCATCCTTTAAAGCTACAGTTTGAAAGATCCTTTTACATAAATACTGTGTTTTTATTTTCAGTGTTCCAACAGAATACAGTGTGAGCGTACAATTAATAGTATTCCTCTGCCATCTTTTGAATTTCTCCGGCGCATTGCTGTAACAGCCTTTTCCAATTGCCGTCTTTAAAAAAAACTTTTCGAGATCCCGTAATAGTCTTCTCTCTCTTCTATGTGAGACGTTGTCTTCCAGAGACTTTTGCTGAAGGCAAAAAAAAAATCCTCTCAACTGCAATCTGTTTGCATCATGTCACATCATTTTAGCACCCTTTTATCGTCAGGTCAGTCTTATTTTTTCATGAAAGAAATCCAAAAAAGGGATGTAAAAATGTGCAAATAAATACTCCTTCACTTCCAACTCCCCTTTCTCCTAACCCTCTTCAACCGTTGTCCATTTTCACCACCCCCCCCTTCCCTCGCTGCTTCCTCATCCCCTACTTGCAGGTGAAGACCTCTGACCTCTCGCTGCATGTGCTGCACTTGACGAAGCAGCACCAGTGGAACTTGCAGTGGCACTGCCAGACACGCGTGTAGTGGCGCGTGTCGTGGCCGCGGCCACAGCACATCAGGTCGCATCCGTCCGCGTGGCTGGAGGTGCCGTTGCACAGTCTCCCCCGCGTCCCCGCGCTCCCCGTGGCCGCGTCCTCCTCGCAGTAGTTGGGCGAGCGCTCCAGGTACACCAGGTCGCGGTCCGTGGGCTTCTGGTAGCCCCGGGCCTCCTTGACCCGCAGGAAGGAGGGCTGGCGGAGGCGCGAGGCGCGCACCGGCTCCACCTGCACCGCTCCGCCGTAGCGCTCCTTCAGCAGGTGACCGATCTCTCTGAACTTGGGCAGGGTGATCCAGCAGGTCTTGGTGGTGCAGGAACCGGACACGCCGTGACACTTGCACTCCATCTTCATCCCCTCCTGGAGGACCTGAGGGGGAAATTGGGGGTCCATGTGAACTTAAAGAGATGGTTGCGGGCGGAAAGTATGTTCTGTGCGGTTAATACATGAATGGTCATTTTACACACGTCCGGACCTCGACTTTAAAAACCGTTAACAGCCATCGCTTGGCTTTCTCATCCGTCTCTTTTTGCCGAGCCGGGCTTTCAGCACTCCAACCGGGACGCCAACTTTGTGTCAAAAAAGAACCGTGGGGAAAATAACTCCTAAACCAAGACTGCAGTCTCTAATTCACTTTACCTTTCTTCAGACCACACGATGGCGTGACAGCACGAGAAAAGTGACCCGAGCTGCTGTGCGACCATGCGGGTGTAGGATTACGTCGTGGTTTTGAGCCAGATTTACACTATAATACCATACACATATTTTAGATGACGAAATTGACAGGTGACTGTTTGCCCCCCCCCTCGAGGTTAATGTGAAAACGACTTTTCATGCTGGGACGCCGTGGTTATTGAGCCATTAGTAAACGTTTGTCCAGAGCGCTAGTCAGATCAATGGCTTCCCCTTCGTGGCTGTCACTTTGTGGGAACGTTTGTCCTCTGACCTTGGCGGCTTTAGCGTGCGGAAGAGAGAGACGTGTGATAAATCCTATATCCTCCTTTAATTTATAGCAATAACCATGAATGTACTGACTATAAGGCTGTGACTCAACTCCATTTTGGCTAGTATAGTGCTTTGCACAAATACACACTACCAATGTAGTAGCCAGGATCCTTTAAGTATCGGTAAAAGGTTTTTAGTATATTACACAGATTTAACTTTTTTTTTTCTTCTTGTGTTTCAAATCCGGATGTCATTCTTTTGACTTGCCTTTCGCCCCGCCTCGTTGTTGTGCAGGTTCATCAGCCGGCGGGAGTTTTTCTTGATCTCGCGGGCGTCCACGAAGCGGCGTGAGAACTCCACGCCGTACTTGACGTCAGCCGAGCAGCCCCCCCACTTCCAGCCCTCCTCCGGTTGGTCGTGGTAGCCCTGCTTCTCGCGGTCACAGCCACACTGGCTGAGGTTGCCTTGGCTGCACGCCGTGGTCACCGCGTGGGCCACTCCGGCCGCGGTGATGGCGTAGGTGAACGCCGCCTCCCTGCTGCCTGAAGAGAAACCAGCAGAACCGCTGATGAGGTTATCGGGGGAGGTCACTTGAACTAAATTGATGGAGGCTTAAATCCTTCACCCAAGCACCCTGCAGCAGAGCGTGTGGGAGGTATAGAGAGATGCCGATTGTGCAGTTTCAAACCAAAACAGGGCTCACGGGTATTTGGGTCTCAATTTCATGAAGGCCATACCAATCCTTTCTTGAGCCACACACAAATACACTACAAACCCCCCCACGCCCCTCCAAGCCTCCTCACAAAGTGGCCTTTCTGCTTTTTTTCGAAATGCTCTTTAAAGCAGTAGGTGTTTCGTTTTGTAACACAAAAGAGAGCTTTTTACAATTGTGCGTTGTACTTATTTGTCATCAACAGAGAGCTGATTTGATAAACCCCACATCACTGTCTCAGCACACTAATCCGCACAGTGAAGACAGCACAAGTGACATCTACTGGCTGACTAGAGGAGCTTGTTCTCTGGATCGCCTCTTAATGTTATTCATCAATGAAATTTCCCACACGGCTTAGGTGTTGTTCTGTGTTTCTGTCTTAGGCGGTCCGCACTATTATGACAAATGATACCGCCGCGTTGCATGTTGAAATAATCTGCGGTCGGGCTTCAATGAGATGTGCCCAGCTATTTCCCAGCTTTTGCGTGTCACCATTTGAACTATAAACACATTCATGTGTATTGCGTGGAGGGGAAAAGCAAATCTTCTGGCACAACAATCGGTTATGGGATATCCTCCCTCTCCAATCAGGGTAATGCCGGCCCTCCGTTCTTCCCAACAGCCCAGAGTATTAATGCGTGGCGTCTCTGGTGGAGGCGATTCTAATGGCTCCCTTCCAACCTGACAAGCCATTTGGGCCTGTGGTTCCCCCGGTCCATAACTCATAACAAACCCTCGAGTCGTCTCTCATCAGGCTTAATCCGCAACCCCGTTCAAATGCGTTGTATGGTGAGCATTTCTCAAGGTATCCGGCGCATGCGATAGCCAAACAGCCATCTCCCTGCGCTGTGATTTGTTTTGATTGTACGGCAGCGCATGCTGGGCTCCATTGTTGCCATCCAGCTGCTGGAGCTGACTTCAATTAGTGGTTAGCATGAATCTCTCTGCTCTTTCTCAATGCTTAATGAGTCTGCAGGCCCGCCAGGTCAATCAAACGGTGGATGGTATGTCAGTGACACCACGGGGGGGGGGGGGGGGTGGTACAGCTCTGGCTTGCATCTTCTGTTTAATGAAAATAGCTGGAATGGGACACGGAGATGGCAAAGAGAGAAATAATCTTGCTGGGAATCCACAAAGATGAAAGGACGTCTGACTTTGTGTTTTAATTCAAGTGACAGTTTTAGAATTAGTTTTATGTTGTTGTTTTTTTAACACATGTAGCAGGAGTTGGTCGTCAAGAAAGCACAAGAAAGTGTTTGCGAGGAGAGCACATGAGGGCCCAAGCCGGGTCCAAGCGTCTCTTTGAGCTCGTTTGCACACCACAAGTGAAAAGAGACATTTCCCCCGACAAAGAACTAAAGGGATCCAGACGTCTGTCTGCCTTTGTCCCGTGTAGAAGGAAGTGATTGCTCCCAGGGCTGCTAGATTAAACATGGATCCAAACCCACAGCACGACCGCAACAAAACATTTCTGACTGCAATACAATTCATATAAGAGGTTCACATTAGGAGCAAACAGGCTCCTGTGAGAAACAAAACTGGAAAGAATGTGGACTCGAAGCGGTGCGGCGTGTTGACTTGTGTGTTTATAGTTTGTGTTGGTTTGATGTATACATTTGTTCAGGAGATGCCCCCCCCCGCCCTGCCTCCCAGATAGGCGTTAGACGCTGCTTTGTAAAAGCAGTCTTCACATTCCATTCACGATTGCCCCGCTGTGGCAACGTGTGTTGCAAGCAACAGCGATGTCCCAAACACAAGCTACAGATGTCCTCTGAGGACACTTGCGAAGGCGTTTGGGTCTCTTTGAGTTTTTTCCCTGTTTGGAAGAGGCAGAGAGTCTGTCGTGGTCGCTGCGTGCGGCGTCCCAAAGAGAAGCGCTTTCGTCAAAGTCTAGTTTAATTAGTTGAGCGCCGCTGTAAAAAGGTCCCGCGCTACGGACGACGTGTGCAGGAGGTTCAAGGGCGAGACGCACAAGTGGCACGGCCCTTATTGCTCAGTGACGGCAAGCTAAAAAGAGACCGGTCGGTTCGGCTAATCCACATTCCTGTCGACATCAGCATTTAGATGCCGTGCGGTCGGATCGAACACCAAACGCAGGGACGTGTCAACCCAGATCAACCAGATCAGTCCCACTCGTGCCTCAAGGCGGAGACTTGAGTCTGAGTCCTAACTGACTGTTTGGAAAACAATGCAGGGATTTACTTCAGCCAGAGTTTCCGACGGGCGCCGACCTTGAACCTTTTGGCTCATTCGGAAAGTTTTCCAGCGGAGGAAATTTGTTTTATGTCGTTTTCCATCCCTCTTCCTTAATTTCTTGTCAATTGTAAAAGCTATAATAACGGCGCAGAAAGGCCCAAAACCAACACTTTTGTCCCAGAATACCCTTTTGAGCAATACCCCCGTTCCCCCCCAGCCTTTTTTCTCCTGTGTACGACATAATATATAATCAAAATATATTTTGAAAAGACTAGAAGCAGCAGCGTTTCAAACAGACTGACCTACTCTCAGCTCTTGTCCGAAGACGGTCCTCTGTCCCAGGGCCGAGCAGTTCCAGCGGCCGTAGCGGAACTGGTACTGACACTCGTTGATGCCCAGCTGAGCCCCTTCGCCGATGACGATGATGGCGTCGGGGCGGCTCTGACAGAGGGCTCTCTGGCGCGGGGCCAGTCCCGGTATCTTATTGCAGATGATGTTGGCACCCAGAGCCACCACGGAGGACAGCGTCCTGGGGCAGAGAGAAAGCGGGGATCAGTGAGAGGGGAACATGTACGTGAAAACATATGCAGCATATTGTTTGAGTTCTGGGCCCCACGTTGAAAAGGGCCTGGCAGCGAGATGAGATTGGTTTCCAATAAGCTAAAGATTTCATTACAGCTGCATGTCTACAAATCATGAAGACCAAACTCCAGAAATCACTCAGAATAAGAAGATGAGAGCAGACCTGCATCATGTACGACCTAATGGACCTTCACAGAGACATGAAAGACAACTATAGTTCATTTGGGTCCGGATCCAGTTCATTTCTGTCTGCCTCTCGTTCTCTCTGTGTAACAGAAAACATGAACCACCACAGCTATTTTAAGTTTCGGGGCCTGCCCTTGTTATGAATGTATGGTGCAGCGATCATTCCCTTTGTGAGGGCCTGGGTATTTTAATGCCATCATAAAGAACTGCCTACAGGCAGAGCAATATGTCTCTTTTCCATATGCTGCTTTACAGTTATGGCTCTTGTCTGACGAGGGGCTCCTGTGACAGTTAATGTGAATCCATAAGCAGGTTATCTCATTTTACATGAAAGAGGCAGGTGGATTAAACATTGGCTTCACGCAGCTAATACTTTGTTAACTCTTAATAACGAGTTGTTTTGGGAGAAACGATCTCAATGAAAACGACGTAGCTGTTCATACTATAGGTGGGGGGGGCGGGGGTTAACACGCGGTAGCGTTGGATTCCATTGCGGAATTAATGGGAAACAATGACACGAAACACCTCGTTTACCAATGTTTTTTCAAAGGTTGGTGGATTGAATATTACAACCAGTTTTTCACATTTTCACATTTCTATAACGGTGTCCGTGCAACATGTAGCTGCTTCACAAAGACATTTTTACACCTGCAACAAACTGAAACCACCAGCTCTCCGGGTGCGATAAAATGCGCGCAGCGTGCGTAATTAACCAATTTGCTTGTAAAGCGCAACGACCTGCCGGCGAACCTACGCGTCTTCAAGGCCGACAAAGTGCATGTATGAGAAACCTACAGGTAGCTACCGCTGGTGAGGATGAGGAAGATCTGTGGGTAGTAGACGGACAGCAGCGCGCTGCGGGACGAAATGATGAGCATGGTTGCGCATTGAAACCCAACTGGCTCTGCTCTCTTGCGGTGTGGAAAATGAGAGGAAAAGTAGCGGCTATGGAAGTATATCCTTTTTAAATGATCAGTCCCAAAGTGAAACGCGGGAGCGTCGTCTCTTCTTTCCGCCGTTGGAGACGTGCTGACTTCAGCTGGTGGGGCAGTGGCGCGCTGCTGCGGCGGCTCCGAGCTCCGCTGTCCATGTGCTGGAGATGAGAGGCTGCATCCCACGGCCAAAGTGCGCTGTGCCACCTGGACCGACAGAGGACTGGGTTGGAGAGAGAGAGAGGGGGGGGGGGGTGTGGAGGGGGCTCCGGAAGTCTCTAAAAGTGACTTTGGAAGAGTGTGGGACAGTGGCCTCTCCTGGTGCAGCAGCCCCCGGGATGCGTCTGCAGCCCGTAGCCCACCTCCTACCCCCGTCCATCCGCCTCTCTCCGCTCCTCTCTTTCTCTCTCTTGGCCGTCGCCCTCCGAATTCATCTGAAAGGCTTATCTCACCTGGAATTAATAACTGACAGATGACTGGGTTGGAGAGAGAGTAATTCATTAATACATCCACGTCTGGTTCTGACTTTCCCAAATAACCGAACAGGACTTATCTCATCCGGGGTGTTACTGTGGCATGGTGTTTAGAAACTTGAATTCATGTCTTACCTTTTACCATGAAGTTATCAAATTGTTGGTGCTGGAAAGTGGGCCAGAGAAGGAAAACTACAGTTTAAACTTAAAAAGATTCAGCAACTATACTGTAGATATATGTAAATCTTTACATTTGGCAAAGGGGGTGGTTGTATTGTCCTGCTGCAGTCTGGGTTTGTTCAGGCGGTCGCTCAGTTGACTCTGTGGCCTTTCGGGTCACAAGTTCTGCTGGCACATCACCAACAACACGCCCCCACGTGGCAGCATGAAGGAAATGTCCTCAAGCCAAAACAACCTTCTCGTGGTTGTTGCTGTAGTGCACAGCAGAGCATCAGTAGGCTGTAGCTTATGGAGTTGTATTCCACTGTAAGGAGGAGACGTTTCCTTTTTAGCTGAAGCGCTATGTGACATCTAGACGTGATATTTTGTTTGTTTTCTTGTTAAATCCTTGGTGTTTGAAGGTGAAAACGCCAACAAGGACAGCACAAAGGGAATCCATGCAGATCCGCCGTTTTAAAGATGTTCCCTGCAACGATGGGAGGGGGTCATCCTGTTCAGTTTCACGGCACCTTCAAAGCATGAGGGGTTTTATAGGTCTACTCCAAAAGTTGACCGGGGACAAAGTACATATTACCTTGGCTTGTTGTTGACAGTTTGAAGACCGACATTGTAGACATTCTGGGCTTTACTTAACGTTACTTTACTTAAGAAGAACAAATAACCACGAGGAGATAATATTAATAAAGATTTGTTCCACAGAGAGATATCGATCTGAGCAAATGTGAGACCCTGGCTTAGAAAATGATTGAGGACAATTTGTGGAAATGAACCATCTTGTCAATAAAATTCTCTCTGGCTTGAGAGAATGCATGTGGGGTAAAATAAATAAAATTGTCATACTTTGGCTTTTGTGAGATTGGCTTGATTGTCATGCCCACTCAAACTGTGTGTAACTGTAGCTGCAGTCAGATAAGCGCAGCACTGTCAGGGACGAGAAGCAGCTTCGCCAATAAATTGGGCCGCAGAAACCTCTTCACAGGAACTCAATCAACAGCTCTTTCAGTGGACAACTCACAGATAATGTCTCGTGGTCAGCAGAGGCAGAACCCTCTGTATATATGTGTGTATATATTGTATGCCTCTCCCTTTCACTCCCTCTACCTCTCTCTTTCTTTCCCAAAAATCCTCCTAAACCTCAATATCCAAAGCCAAGATAGCACTTAAGCGCCGTGCACTCACCGTGCTGGCGCTCGCTCTGCGATATCTGTTTCTTTTCATATTTTTGCTCAGGAGGCGAGAAGAACATAGCAGACTTGGGGAGTTTGGTGCCGCGCAGGAACCATTTTTGTTGTCGCTGCTGAACGAGATGCAAGGCCGGCGACGAAAGTGTCTGTGAAAACTAACGTGACCATTGTCGGTTACCAAATTCGGGACAGCTGTCAAGAGCGTCAGAGAATCGTCACGGGGCCGGAGACGGGGCGGTGGAGCCCAGAGCTGGACGCGGGCCTAAAAGGTCCAGATTAATAATAGTGGTTTGTCATGACTGTGGGCTTTTGAGCCCATCCCGTCCTGCAGCCAAGAAACCCTTAACTGGATCCCTGAGCGGTTGTCGAGGAAACAGGGTTGTTGATGGTAATAGTAAACATCTGATATATCCTTCAAAGTCATATTTTTCTGCCGAATAGCAGGGCTCAGAGGCGAGAGTGTTAGACATAACAATCCCAGCCGCACACAGTTGGAAGTGGAAAGTTAGACGTTAGTCCCTCCTCCCTAACCCAAAAATAACATCTTGGTGTTGAGATGTTTTGCGTGTCAAAAACCATTTCTAACTCTACTCTTTCTAACTCTACTCTTTCTAACTCTATACTAAAGAATGCAGATTAGCCCCGTTTAGAAAATGTGGTTCATAGTTAGTTCAGGCAGAACTTCATTCATGATTCACAATTACTGGCTACTGCTGATGACATCCACGCATATTCATGCAGGCATAAAGTGGGGCCATTGCATCTTGACACTTTGACACACAGCTCCGTGATGTAAGTGACTAAAGTGTTGTACTACACCCGTTAACAGTTTGTCTGTACGATGCATGGATGTCCTCTTCTTAAAGTGTTCACGCAAAGTAAGAAAATGGTAGAACAGTTTTGAGCAAAGTGTTTTAGAGGACAAACCTGTGAACAAAAAGTACACAAAATCCAATAACACTGTGTATCATCATCCTACTCAGCAACTGGTAGAACCGGCATCATGCCGTGAACAAGAGAAAGCTTTTGATGTCACTAAAAGTCAAATAATTTTCAGTGGTCAACGATGAGTAAATAAAGGAATACCTAATGCAGGACTGTATGTTGTTGTCATGACTACGTAGACCATTTGAGGACACTCCCAGGGCCCAGCCTACTGAAGAGAGACACTACACACAACGTGCAACATTACAACATATCAAAAAAGGAAATAGCTGACTGAAAAAAGAGAAGTTGCACAGTAGGACAATACGAGTTGCGAGGACAATAATGTACGGCCCATTGTATTCACCGATGACATCTTTTGCATTGACCTCCCTCTCATGGAAGTCAATGAGCATTAAGAGTCAGTCCTATGAACACCAGCACTCTTTACTGCTGTTTCAGTTATGTTTTACGGCATTAGTTTACCTTTTCAAGAGCATACGATATGGGTGTGACCCTCCTTCGAAGACGCAAGGGCTGAGCGCCAGACGCTACAAAGACTTTTGACAAAAAATATAGAATAACACCAGCAGTTAGCTCTTAATTAGATGGGAGAAGACACGCATCAAAGGCCTCGGGTCTAATATATGGTGGGCCTCTGATCCACCAAGACACCCTGATGGGTTTCATTCGCTTAGCTCAGACAAGTGCAATTTTAGCACGATTCCACATGCAATTGCAGTGGCTTTCAAGCTTTACCGCGGTCAAGGTCATTGTTAAGACTGTAATGTGGCAAGACAAACACATGGTGCATGTATGTGTAATGGGTTAAAACACATGCTGGAATGTACAAGAAATATGACTGCGGTTGAATATTGCCCCCATAACTGTGACAGAGTGTGACAGATAAAAAGCAAAACCACTCCGGTGATTAACAGGCTAGTATTCATGACACAGCTAAAAGCAACTACTTTGTATACAAAAAACTAATTCCCTTTTGGGAATTCATGGGACTCGACAAAGCTGGCGGTGGGAAATTGTTTCCATGTTGACGAACAATAATTCCACAACTATTGTCCTTGAAGCATCTTGAACCTTTTTGAGAGCGGATGAACGATGCCACGAAGGACATAAAAGTCTGCAGAAATGATTGCTTTAAAAAAAAAAAATTATAACGTAAACCGGATTTATCTTTTTATGGTGTGGAATTACAGATTTGGGGGCTGTAAACATTTTGCAGATGGGGAGAATATGGCTCCACAGCTGAGATGATTAACTTTGTGAGCAACTAAAAAGAGAAGAACAAAGGGAAAAAATGACCTCATTGCGATGATCTGGGACACAGATATATGGCACATTCAGACCAGCAGGTCAAAGCTGCTGCTTCTCTCTATGATATTCTAATTCGTCATGGTTGTCTAAAGTCCTGAGTGCTCAATTTGCCCTGGAGATCCTTTAGCTATGCACAAGCCCGGCCCAAAAACATCAATAATGTACCAGAAAATTAAAACATCACCCATAGATAAAAACATGCAGACTTTCCACCTCTTTTGGCAACACTTTGAGCCTTTTGCACTGGAGTCTCTGTCTTTGTGTCAGTTGTGACTGCAGAGGGAGACAAAGCACCAGAGAAAGTCTTTGTTCACTTCAGTCTTCTCTTGATTCCCTTTACACCAGCATTTTGTCTTTTTTTTACATTAACATCGAAGCTATTCTACGCTTTATTACAGACAACAGACAGCAGCGGTGCATTATCTATATGTTCGTAGAGGTTCCAACATCACAGTTCTATTTTCTTTCTATTAAGCATTACATTTGGACGGAAATTCAGTAAGTCATGTTCAAACTACAGAAAATCCCCCTCGCTTCTGTCCCTTTCATTTCAGATTGTGTGCAGATATTCAATGTTAATCCTGAAGGTGACTCTGGCGCTGTTATCGGTACTTCAGTGGGGTGAGTCGTTTTTTTGAGATCCTCAAGGGGGCTCTTTACTCCTGTGTTTCAAAGTGCAGGAGGCGAAGCTGTTCGGCAGCCTGTCCTTCCCACCACCCGACAGACGTTCCACCATCTTGGTTCCTGCCGTTGAAAAAACGCTAGAAAGGTTCTTTTAGAATCCCTGTGCTTTTAGTGAGAACAGAGGTGATTGTGTTCTCCATTGCTTTTCATCAATACGTTTTGTATAGAGAGATTCAAAATATATTTCTACGGTTCATTCCTTCATCAACTTGTTGCTTGGAATTAGAGCCTCCTGAGAGCCAGATGTTTATGAGAATTATTTGACAAATATATTCAAAGGTCATCAGATTTTCTTCAGTGTGCATCACATCTAGATAACATGCTTATTATTAACATGACGTGCCCCATTTTGTGCAATATGCTGTTCCCCAAAACAAAGATGTCCATTAGTAGGAATTACTTAACTTGAAAAACCAGACTCATGCCTGCAAAGACTAATGAAAAGTATTACATAATTTAGTATTGTATTTGCAGAGTGTGTGGTGATCAGGAATAGATGTCTTTGAAAGAGCTTGGGAGCAGATTTAGAACCCCTACGTGATGGAGAACATATACGTATAAAAGTATCCTTTTTTCTTTTTTTAAAGGAAGTTTTGTTAATTGTAGAATAAATTGTGCCTGTTCATTTAGGTCACCGAAGATTGTTACTCCGCTACAGCCGGTCTGAGCCAGTGCAACTTGATTTGATCTGTTAGTAATTTGTATGTTGAGAGTTATTTCGTTGGGGCTTTAGAAGTAAACATGTGTAACACTTCTGTATGTTTCTATTACCTTGAAGATACTTGGGCCTCACTGTCGAATCACACAAAAAAAATTCCTGCACCTTCTTTCTCTTCCTCTCTCTCTACATACATCTATTCACACACACACACACACACACACACACACACACACACACACACACACACACACACACACACACACACACACACACACACACACACACACATTGTTATAACCACAAGCTAAACCTCGTAACTCTTTCAGCAGACTCTAAAGGCGTAAATCACAGCGATGCGAGAGAAAAAAAGAAGTCAAACTTTTGTAACATCATGTTAGTGCTGACTTTGCTGATTGAATTTGCTCACAATCACACGGTTCAAGGCTGAGGTCAGGCCAATGGATCGTTTAGTCTAATAGCTGTTTCCTGCCTGCTCAAATGTGAATGTCGCACGGTAGGAAACGATCACATTTCACTGTATTCCCGCACATAAAGCACTATGGTAAAAAAGATTACAAAAGAATGAATGAAAAAAAAAAGTACGAAAAGCGCCCCAAAGAGGAAGGGGAGAAATAATGACAGGGAGAGAGAGAGAGAGAGAGAGAGAGAGGGCAAGAAACTGAGAGCTGGGACAAAGATAGTGACAAAGGGAATGAGCTCTTCTAATTTTGTGCCCTGTCTGTGTCACAAGCACCCTGTTGGGACGACAGATGTGCAGATGATGTCATGTCGAAAGAGGATAGGGCGGGAGGGTGGAGTGATCGGAGCGCGGGAGGACAGTGGACAGGCGGAGCCTCGCTCTGGGAGAAAGCGAGGGGGGGGTTAGAGGAAAGGAGGGCGACGGGGAGCGCCGCTTGCCCTGCAGTCACGCATTTAGGCCTTTTCAGTTTTCCTAAGATGGGGCTCAGCGCAGTTTAGAAATGTGTGAGTGCTTTCCAAAAGAAGCTACTTGGGCATCTTAACAGCCCTCTCCGTCGGTCGTGTTTGCGAATGGGTAAAAAGAAAGGAAGGAAAATGTGCACATATGTCGGGCCGTGGGCATTTGCACATGCCGAGGCAGACAAATGTGCTGAACCGGTGCATTTCAGCTGCAGGATTTACCTCTCCAAACCAAACCGG